CCACATCAAGTGGAAGCGAAGTTGTCTTGGCCCACCTTTCTAGCTTGGCCTGCATGCAACAATGGCTCATCGCAAAATGACCCAGATTTTGGCGACAATAGAACATCATTTAGATGTTGGCTTACAGCTCTAATCAATGTTTATACTCGCAGCAAAAAAGGGTACCGTTGATATCAATGAAAACAGTTAAGGAACCTCCATGGCCAGGTCGACATTACCCTTCCAAACAGAGTATCATTTACAGTAACAGCCCTAAGGCTGCGTGCTCACCACATGCATCTGCAAGAACGCAACAATGCGAAGATCATCCTTGCATGCAGTGCTTCCGGGTTGTTACGACTGCAAGCCCCTTCACACTCGCGGATGTATCCACAGTGAATGCTAGGTTTGCTCATGCAGAAGTACTCGAGGGTACTGACCGGATGAGGGAACTTGTCAGCAAGGCATGGAATTAGGTGAGAAGGGCTAGGAGGATGGATTTAAAGTCTCGCGATCACCCTACGAAAACTCCTTCCCACCAAGTCAATTTACTCATACGCATCTATTCAAGTACAGTCCACCTGACACTCTTCTTTCACGTCAAAACTATCCTTCGTCATCTCTTTAGAGGTGGCCCACCATACAATACTTTCATTAAGCCAATTCCTTCCTAAATTCCTCTAACAGGAGCAGAGCATTCACTGTCGACCAAGTACTATTGCTCTACAAAGGCAGATTAATGTTTGATTGCCCTGATATAATAATAAAAGCCCCAAAAGTGAGGCCAGCCATTCATTCCCTCTGAAGCACATGCTTACGTTAACAAGCACCTCCTTCCATCCGCCATGTCCGACTCTACCAACCACTCGAACTCCTGTGTTACCAATACCTCCAATGCAACAGGCCAGCAGACTACCAGTTCTCCAGAAAACCCCCCAATCACGTCCAGCACTCAGCCGAGCCCTTCCACCTCCAGTATCGGTACCCACGCCGTCAACAGAGGACTCGTGAATGGCAATCACCAAGCCCAGCGCACAACCCCAACCGGTAGTACTATCAATAGCGACCACCAAGTCAGAGACAACGCCCTAAACAATCAAAATGACACGCCGCCCTCTGCAATGATGATTGTGGAACATACAGATGACCCCACTGTTCGAAGGCTTCATGAGGCCTTCCACACGGATGCGCCGCAACGTCCTAGACGGCCTTTCACACGTGCGAGTTCTATAGCGCACGAAATGACCGCCAGGGATAGACAAGAGTTTGGTCTACAGCCTGACACTGCCCAATCAGAAAGTGCTTCCAACAACAATCAATCGACAACTTCGGAGCCTGACGGTTTCGATCTCTTCGAAACTCCCTCCTCTGGAATCCCGCCAGTTGCTGTCACAGACACTCCGGTAACACTTGGTGTGTCTCGAGACGATTACTTCAGCTTGTCCGGTGCCCTACAGTCTGATCCTCCACAGGCGAACAGTTCCGGATCCCGCAGAGTTTCTCAAGGGGCAGACTTTACTGCCTTTTGCTTCCATGCAAGTGGATTACCATCATACCCTATGCGTCGTTCGGCGCCGCCTAGCGGAACGGCCGCACTTTCCAGTCATCCTTTTGGGGAAGCAAGCGACGCAGCCACCATGCTCAACTCTACCCCACTCGTCAACGGAAGATCTAGTAACAGCGACCAACGCCCTTCATATTCCCTGAGAGATTTAGAGTTGAGAGGCGACGACTCCAATACAGCTGGGGGTGTATATGCTACTGTCCATTCTGAGGCTGACTGTACCCACCGACAAGCCGAAAACAGCAATGGAGATGTTATTGAAAATGGCCATGGACGAGCGCAGGCCAGCCAAGGCACACGAATGAATACTCCACCTTCGGTCAACGTGAGCGAACTGCGATTGGGCCCGGTGAGCAGGGAGTCACACACCGAGCTTGCGCTTTTCAGCCAGTACAGCGAAGACGAGCCAAGCAGAGCTGCTCTAGACGAAGACACTACAGCAAGCAACTCCGCAACCCCAGTACGGCGCCGTGGTCTTGTTGCTCCGCTTGAACTCGCCAACCATGGTGATAGACGAGCGCCAGCCCGCCCAAACACCCCTGTCCAATCGCAGACCACAGGTATCCCACCGCTGTCCGATCTTGCCAGTCATCATCCGGGTAGGAGGGCTAGCAACTCTTCTCTAGTTCACGGTAGTGTGCCTGACAATAGCACTCGCGACAGCACGCCCAGAGACGACAGACGCCCAACACGCTTGAGTAATTACTTGCCAGGAGCATCTTCATCAAGCGAGGATAGAGAAGCATGGACTGGTGAACTTATCGTTCCTCCTGAGAACGCCATTGAAACCCAGAGACGTCCAAACCACGCATGGCAGAATATGAACCCAGTATTATTTGAGGGAGTCACAACATCCCACAACGTGCTCAATAGCGATGAGAACGGCCTGTGCTCTGAAAGTGACACAGAGAACTTCCGGTCGAACACAGCCCTCGATACTTCTGCCTCAACGGATCACCAGGACACTACTTACCTCATTTCGCATGGACACATCTCTAGCAGCGACCATCCAATTGTGACAAGCATCACTAGTAACGTCCCAGAGAGCGGAGGTAATCCGACCTACCTGACCGATTATATGGAAGAACCGTTAGTCGAGGAAAGAGGAAGATGGACTCATGCGTTCGTCGTTGCTCCGGTCGAGAGCAACGCACGCCTGGACGTTCCTTCAGTCTCTCCAACTCAGAGTGATCAACAGGATCGTGCTTTGTCAGCGGTCAACAATAGCAACGTTAATAGTCGCGACCGCCGAGCTCCCAGGACTGGAGGATCCTTGAGACAGATGAGTACCGAAGAGAACGAGGCATTCTGGATTGAGTTTGACGACTCGAGATACAGTTGAGGTTACGATCACGTTTGAAAGTCATGGGCAGGCAGGGGTACATGTGAATTGATGGAACGTTGATTGGCTCGAATTGTTCTAGCCAATGGCAGGCAAGCGAGGGAGTATTGTTTTTCCGGGAAAGGCCTAATAACATAGCGTAAAGTGCCCCGCATGCACCGCCGCATCGTCTATGAGTGATCTTTGCATGCTTTACGTGCCATTTTGGTGATACCAAACCTTAATGCCTGCCCTTCTCTGCCTAACCGCAACTTAACCTCCAGCATTGTGACATTGGCTTCACTATGGTACTTTTCAAGGTTATAGAAACGGGTCTTGCAGAGGAAGCTCGCAAAATCTCCGAAACGATCGCCTTGCTACCCGACGATCAATGGAAGGACGTGGAGTTCGAGAACGACACAGCACAAAAGAGAATAGCACTATCGCATATACCTGGAGAAGTAACGTCAGAGTTCAGAACTCAGCTCAATAAAACTATAGTATGGTAGATACAGGTCAATACTACGATGATGCTTACCGCCACATCGCCGGCCTCGTTCTTGTACCCAGACTTGGGAACAATCAAGACACTAGCAGTTTTGTTTCCTAATTCAGCATGTCTCAGATTACTCCAAGGTCCGTGCCACCCTCAATTAGGAAACAAAACCGCTAGTGTCTTGATTGTTCCCAAGTCTGGTAGACATGCTAACGCATATGGATACCTATGGTACATCACACTTTCTCAGCCTTCTAAGGTCCCTCACAACGACAATGCTATATGCTTCCAAGCTCAGCTTCTTCACTACAAGGTGTAGAGAACCTCTCCGTGGTATTACACTGCGTCCAAATACGCGTACTCCCCAATTCGACACCCCAGTCAAGCAGTTCAGAAAGCAGGCGGAGGCGGAGGAGGCGGCATAACGCCACCGCCACCGCCAACCGGGTTCATACCACCCTTCTCCACATCACTACCAACAGCCTTTACGCCCACCTCCACACTCTTGAACATGCTCGAAACGCCCATCGTGAAGACCGCCGAAAACGAGAACGCCAGCCATTGCAAAACTTGTAGGGCCACACCAGGCATCACCTTCAGCTCGCTCGTATTCAGTAGTGTCGTCGAGTATTGCAATACTCCAAACGTCTGAGTTGTCGACAGGGCAGCCGCAAAGGCTAGAGCGGTGGATAACCAGAGCGTAGAGACGGTAATGGGTTTGTAGAGGGTGGTGCGGTGGGTTCGCGTGGAGCGGCTTTTCAAGCTAAGCTTCAAGAGGGCGAGAGATGCAAGACTCAGGGTGAAGAGGACACTTGCTATGACGAGCACGTTTAGCACCTTGGATTGCAGGGCTAGGGCGCTAGAGATTACAGGTAAGTTGGAGGGGGTGTTATGGTTGGCGGTGTTTTCCAGTACGCGGGAAATTAGGGCATCCTTGGAGCCGCCGGAAGTGGAGACGCAGTCGAGGTCTGCGGTTTCACCGAGACATGCTCCTGGTGATGATTAATATGAATTGGAGGATTAGGGCGGTGATACAAAGTATCCAAGTCTGATGTGGAAGTCCTGCAGGCTACTATTGGTAGCGACTGACGGTAGGCTTGACGGCTGGAGGCCGACTAGAAAAGAGGTTTTTCATGGCTGGTGATGTGGAAACACAGCCAGTGAGAGAGAGTACTGAGAGCTATAGTGCCGCTGTTCTAACATATATAGAGGTAAAGGGAATGTCTTTGCCATAGAATATGAGAATTGGAATGGGGAGCATATATACGCCGAAGCGGACACTAACTCTAGCCATAATCATAGTGAAGATTTTGGAGGGTGTCTCAGGAATGGAGGAGGTGCTATCTTATAGATTGGTACGCGATAGAGAGTAAAGGGGGAATGTGATAGCTTATGGGTGAACAAGAGAGTAGAAGAACGAGATGAGAAGAGTAGAGGGAAGTTTGCTGAACAAGGGAGATGATAGGAATATTGGCTTTAGACCATTATGATACTTATACAACTGCGATTTTCTCAAAAGTACCAGGGTCTGCTCTTGCCTCGATCGACACAACTTCTTCATGAGCGCGCGCTTAGGAAACCCGGAGGCTAGACGGATGGCAGACTCCGTAAGCGCTATAGCGAAGTCTTGGAAATGTGGGCGTTCTAGATGAGTAGTGTAGTCGGCTGTACAAAGACGTAACATAGGTGTAGGTGGCGTAAGTCGGGTAAAGCGCGTGGCTATACCACGCCGCAATGTGGTCGCCTAACTGCAGTCAGGCCGTACCGGACGGTTCGTAACATAGATTAGTAAGAAAATGGACACATTTAGTGCATGTTAGGAAGAGAAGACAGGTTACCCTTCTCGAGAACATAATCGCATGGATCGAGAGAGCAGAAGAGGTTTTAAATGATATTTATCCTGCTCAAGAGAATTATGGAATGAGCCTTGCATCCACCGCTTCAAACCGTTGCTTACGGCACTGGCGACCGCCGCCTGGTGACGGAAGACTTGAAGTATTTCTGGTAGCGTTCCAGATCGAAACTACCGTCTTCAAGTTCCTTACTATCAGGTTCCCCTGCCCAGCAGAACGTCCGACAATTCCTGAGAACCTCTCCACCTTCCAAAACTGCATCACACTCGTCCCATCTGTAAGCGGCAGTCTCGTAAGCTGCCAAACGGTCGAAGTGGGCTTCCGAGGACACCTTCCACACAGTCCCAGTTACGCTTCTAGAGTGGCAGGGTATCAATGTTGGATATATGCCCCACATTTTGATACGGAAACCAGAAATGGTAGCAGGCCTTGTAGTCGGGAGTTCCGGGAGATCGAGAATTGCTTGGAGGACTTCAGGATCCATGAGTGAACCGTAGAAGAACATGTGGAATGGCTGGAAGGGTTCACCGGGCATGTTTGCTTTCGTGTCTTTGAGGAACTGCCAGTAGTGTGCTTTGTCTATGGGCTCAAACGCTCCAGAAGGCACTGGAGGAGGTGGGGGTACTATGATCGCCGGTCTTGATGATTTGAACAGGTGTGGAGGTGGAGGTGGAGGCGGCATTGCAATACTTGGTATCGAAATTTCGTCTTCTCGACGAGATGAGGGTGGAGGTGGAGGCGGAGGCGGAGGCGGAGGTGTATGGTCCATTGTGGAAGCCGCTGAGCGCAAAAGTGCACGTTGGCTTTCGCAATAGGACTGTTAGTCAATGTTCTGACTGTTAGATTATTGCAACTGCTTTGCTTCTGAAGTCGCTCCACTAAGACAGTTGTGCGGCGCTTATTGCGGCGTAAGATGGTTATAATTAGGTGAAACAGCTAGACCCACAATGCCCTACCGAGGCTCGGCGTTACTGGTACGCCGTCCCGGGCGTTACGCAGTCAGCCTCGGTATCCGCGCTAGCCTGTCCCAACCTGGTGCCTGGACGTAAGAAGCGCCAGCCTTGGCCGCAAATACCACAGCCTCAAAAAAACATCAAAACGCTATCCCCCAATTCGAAGTGGGGCTTAACTGTGCCACTTTCTTGATTTTCCTGGTCACTCAGTTCAATTCGCTATGCTTGGTCCGAACGCAACATGCCAAACGCCACCTAAGAGCTCAGCAGAGAGTTGTCAACAAGCAAGTCAAGCTGGCTTGATTCTTATCGATTGCAGATCACAGACCATTCTCTGGGTCGTGCCA